ACCTTTGTCTGAACCTAGGGTGAATTGGTCAAAGGGGCTATCCCTCACGTTGACCGTCACCTACGAGTATGAGTGAGTGACCAGAGCAGATGTCTCTGCAATGATCAGTCACCAAGGGGAGACTGTCTTCCCAGTTCCATGACCTATGTAGGTTTTTTTCCAGTCATGAACCTCATGGAAAGTCTTGTCCTTCTTGTCTCTACTGAAAGGAAGAGGAAAATAAAACTGAAAGGAGAAGGGTGACAGGTAGTGAGAAGAGCTAAAGAAGAGAGTTGAGGCAAACTCCTTACCTGATCTGAGAATGGTGAGTGGAAGTGTGGGCTGGTCTGATGAGCCTAGGTCATAGTTAGGTCTCTTCATAGAGGGAGAGCAGGGACAGGGGGCTGGTGTTCCCAACGGAGTACCCCTGTCCTGGTTTTTGGCACCAAATGTTAAAACACACACTCTGAATGAAGAGACCCCCAAACAGGCTTTGTGTGAGCAACATGGCTGTTTATTCATCTGGGTGTGGCAGGCTGAGTCAGAAGAGTCAGTGAAAGGCAGAGGAATAGGAGTTGGTTTTGTAGGTTTGGGGTAGGCAGTGGAAAGTTACAGAAGTTACAGTTTAGGGTGGTCTTTGCAAGCTGGGAGGCGTTCATAGGGTCTGGAGTCAGGAGGTTGACCAAGGTTAGTTACAAAGTCGAATTGCCTTATTAATTGAGGCAGGAACAAGGGACAATGGAAGAATATTTCAAGTTAAGTAGGCACCACAGGGGTTGATCATTCTTTTTCTTTTCATGGTCTTCCAGTTATTTCAGATTTTCTAATTCCAGGAGTTCATCAGAGGTATATGTGAGGGTCACAGGGGTTACCATGGCATCCATGGCACCGTCAGTCAGCCTAAAAGACCTTAGCAGGTTCAAACAATTCTTCTGCCTCAGCCTCTCAAGTAGCTGGATTACAGGTGTGTGCCACCATACCCAGCTAATTTGTGAATTTTTAGTGGAGGCAAAGTTTCACCATGTTGGTCAGGATGGTCTTGATCTCTTGACTTCATGTTCTGCCTGCCCTGGCCTCCCAAAGTGCTGGGATTACAGACATGAGCCACTGTACCTGGCCAACCCTCTCTGTCTTAGAAGAGACTCTAACCCCTCTAAGTTGGACCTCTAACCAGATCCCATTCTTTACCTGGATATATGCACCACACTTACCCAAAGTCAGCCAACTGGTGTGTGCAGATAATTTTCCTTTGGGTCTGGGGTGTCTTCAGTATTGTCCCTTAAGGGTTCACCAGAAAGATGTTTCAGGACCCCACCATTTACCCAAAGGTAGCCACTGGGTTGAAGGCTTTTTCACTATAGTTCTTCTGTGGTCACCAAAATGATGTTACAGGACTCCACCACTTAACCAAAGTTAGTCTTTGGGTCAGGGATCCTTACAATGGTCCCTCATGGTCGCCAAAAGGATGTTACAAGAAAGGGGTCCTGATCCAGACCCCAAGAGAGTTCTTGGATCTCACACAAGAAAGAATTCAGGGTGAGTCCGTAGAGTAAAGTGAAAGCAAGTTTATTAAGGAAGTAAAGGAATAAAAGAATGGCTGCTCCATGGACAGAGCAGCACACTTTTATGGTTGCACACTTTTATGGTTATTTCTTGATGATATGCTAAACAAGGGGCATTCATGCCTTCCATTTTTAGATCATATAGGGTAACTTCCTGATGTTGCTATGGCATTGTAAACTGTCTTGATGCAGATGAGAGTGTAGTCATGAGGACAACCAGAGGTCACTCTCGCCATCTTGGTTTTGGTGGGATTTAGCCAGATTCTTTACTGTAACCTGTTTTTTCAGCAAGGCCTTTATGATCTGTATCTTGTGCTGACCTCCTATCTCATCCTGTGACTTAGAATGCCTTAACCATTTGGGAATGCAGCCCAGTAGATTTCAGCCTCATTTTAGCTAGCTCCTATTCAAGATAGAGTTGTTCTGGTTCACGTGCCTCTGGCAATATGAAACTCATCTCCTTCTACTTATGTGTCTCAGAAACTATTTATTTACTCTCAAGATGCAATGATAGTAGATGCATTAGGTAAACATTACCATTCAAAAAAAAAAAAGAGAGAGAGAGAGAAATTAGACTAAAGAAAGGGGGCAGTAGGCCTCATACAAGTCTGAAACCCATCAAGGTAGTCATTAAAATTCAAAGCTCCTAAATAATCTTGGACTCCATATCCAGTATCCATGGGACACTGGTGCAAGGGGTGGGGTCCCAAAAACTTGGGTGGCTCCATCCCATGGTTTTGTAGGGTGTAGACCCATGGCTGTTCGCATGGATTGGAATTGAGTGCCTAAGGCCTTTTCTGGTACAGAGTGCAAGCTGCCAGTGTATCTACTATTCTTGGGTCTGGAGGATGGCAGCTCCCTTCTGCAGACCCCAGTGGGGACTCTGTGTCAGGGCTCCAACCCCACATTTTCTAGCACTGCCCTAATAGAGTATCTTGGTGGGGTCTCTGCCACTGTGTCAGGCTTCTACCTGAGCAACAAGCTTTAAGATATATCCTCTGAAATCTAGGGAGAAGCTGCCAATCCTCCTTCACACTTTCATTCTGTGTACTCGAAGACTTAATGCCACAAGGAAGCCATCAAGGCTTATAGCTTATGCCCTCTGGAGTGGCAGCTGGTGCTGTACCTGGGGCCCTTTGAGCTGTGACTATAGCTGGAAGAGTTAGAATTCAGGGAGCAGTGTCCCAAGGTTGTGCAAAGCAGCAGCATCCTGGGCCTGGCTGCTGAAACCATTCTTCCCTCCTGGCCTCTGGGACTGTGACAGGAGCGGTTGCCTAGAACATCTCTGAAATACCATGGTCTTTCTCCCACTGTCATGGATATTAGCACTTGGCTTCCTTTTAGTCATGCTAACATCTTTAGCAAGTGGTTGCTCCACAGCCTGCTTGGATTCTTTCTTGATCACAGCTCCAGGCTGTGAGTTTTCTAAATGTTGTGCTCTGCTTCACGTTCATATATAAGTTCTAACTTCAAGTTTTTTCTTTGCTCTTGCAACTGACTGGAGGCTGTCAGATGCAGCCACATCACTTATTGAACACTTTGCTGCTAGAATTTTTTTTTCTGCCAGATACACTAGGTTCTTACTGTTAAGTTCAATCTTCCACAAATTCCCAGAGCAAAGACACAATGCAACCAAGCTCTTTGCTATGGCATAACAAGGGTGACTCTTGCCCTTCTTATTTCCATCTGAGACCTCATGAGCCTGGCCTTCACTTTCCATATGTCTATTATGTAACTATTAGTAGCTTGGTCACAATCATTTAAACACTCTCTAAGAATTTCCAAACGTTTCCTCATCTTTCTGTCTTCTTCTTCTAAGCCCTCTAAACTCAGCCTCTGCCTGTTTCCAGGTTCCAAAGTTGCTTCCACATTTTAAAGCAATGTCCTTCTTGGTACCAATTTTCTGTATCCATTCATTTGCATTGCCGTGCAGAGTTACCTGAGGCTGGGTAATTTACAAATAAGTTTAATTGGCTCACGGTTCTGAAGGCTTTACAGGAAGCACAGTACTGTCACCTACTTCTGGTGAGACCTCAGGAAGCTTACTATCATGGCAGCAGGCAACTAGGAGCTAGCATGTCACACTGAGGGAGCCGAAGCAAGAGAGAAAGAAGGGGGAGGCTCCAGACTTTTAAACAAGCAGATATTATGTGAACCAAATGAGAATTCGCTTATCACCAAGAGGATAGTGCTATACCATTCATGAGAGATCCACCCTTAAGATCCAATCACCTCCCACCAGGCCCCAACTCCAACTTTGGGAATCACATTTAAACATGAGATTTGGAAGGGACAAACATCCAAACCATATCACATGGTTTCAAAAGAGCAGTCTGGTATAATTCTTTGCTCTTCTATGAGTAAGATTTGTTCTTCTTTCTGGTTTTCTTTTCTTTTCTGTTGTTTGAAAATAATATATGTATACATAGTTCTTCTAGAATATATTATTTTTGGTATTTACTGAGCACCTAGATCTGTGGTTTAGTGTCGGATACTAATTTTTAAAAAAATCTCAGTAATTATTGTTTCAAATATTTCTTTTCTATTCTCTCTTCCTCTTCTAGTCTTTTCATTACACATGTTTATGTAGTTATTCCAAAGTTCTTGGATATTCTGGTTTGTTTGGAGTTTTTTTTAGTCTTATTTCTCTGCTTTTCAATTTGGGAGATTTCTATTGAGACATCCTCCAACTTTGATATTCTTTCTTGTGTTCTGTGTACTGAGATGTCAATTAAAGGCATTTTTTATTCATGCTATAGGGTATTAATACTTAGCATGTCTCTGGTTCACATAATTTTTTACCTTTCTGTTTACATTGATAATCCTTTCTTGTATACTTCTATTTATCCATTATAGCCCTTAACGTATTAATCATAGTTGTTTTAAATTCCTGTTTCAAGAATTCCATCATCCCTGATACATCTCAGTCGTCTTGCAAGGAATGCTCATTCTACTCAAACTGTATTTCTTTTGCCTTTTAGTATGACTTGTAACTTTTTCTTGACAGCTAGGCATAATGCGTTTCATAAAAGGAATGGCTAAAAAAACCCATTATTAATGTTGTGTAGAATGCAGAAGAAGAGACATTGTTCTATATGATTAGGTCTGAGTGTTTTAGTGAGATTGTACCACTGGACTGTGAACTTTAAATGTTTCTCACTGTCACTCCCACTCTCCCCATTTGGAGGGACAGGATGACTTGATGGGACTGGAATTGCTTATTTTTCTCCTTCCACTAGGAAGAGTAGACACAGCTGGAGTTTAGTTTCTATGGCATAATAATATTTTTAAATAATTAAAAACTTATGCACATGGAAAATAATCACTAGAATTGGCATCTTAAAATTTGTATGTATAATTTCAGGTTTTTCTCCTTTAAGTGCAGCATAATGGAAACAAACATTATAGGTGATTCTACACAATTTAAAATTATAATCTTTTTTTTTTCTCTTTTTACAGATGGTTCTACTACAGCTTGACTGTAGGCTTAATATTCCTAGCACTTGTCCTACAGATTATATTAATTTATGCCATAAAGAAAAAATATCAAGAAAAAGAGACCAGCTTTTCTGAAAATGGAAGAAGAGTAATACATGAAGCAAACCTCTAATTCATGAATAACAATGCACATTTTGTCCCTTCAGCTGAAGCAGTGAAACATGTAATTAAGTGGAGAAAAAAAAAAAAAAAACGTTTCTGCTATTGTGTTTCAAACCAGCATTGTGTTGATTCAGTAATAAGATGTTAGTTTTGAGCAGTTCCTGGTCCTTTTACTGATGATGGAATTTTTTCTCATTCTTTACTTATGATGGAACAATAAATCAGCCTTTGAATTTATAATAAAACGAACAATCAATGTGAACACAGAAGTACCTCATTGTTAGTGTATAGCTCTGCATTTCTTGTTAAGATTAAAATATACGATTCATACAACTTTAAAGTGAGAAGCATAGTTATTATGTAATAGAATAAAAAGTATTTGTTCAGGTAATTTAACTCTTAATAAAACCAGTGACTAGAATATGAGTAAAAGTACAAAAGGAGGAGATAGATTAATAGGCTAAATAAGGAGAAAAGTCTAATGTCTTTTGTTAAAAACTAGTTTGGACCATATTACTTAGGCCTGAAATCTAGCCTTGATGTGTACTATAATTATAGTACGTAAATATGTGACCATCAAAGGCATTCTTTATTCGTGTTACAGTGTATTGATATTCAGATGTCTCTTTTGTTTGTATAATTTTTTACCTTTCTGTTTACATTCCCCATCCTTTCTACTATATTTCTGTACATATAGTATACAAATATATGTACTATAATTATATATATTCATGTTAAATCAATGATTTCACAGGCTTTATTAATTTATAAATTGAAATTATATTAAGGTTAAGTAAATTTAAAATATATTAAATACTGCTGAAGAAATATAGATATTCAAATATTTGCAACCTATGATTTTCAGACATGTTACAGTATTTTATTTTTTTTGAGATGGAGTCTCACTCTGTCACCCAGGCTGGAGTGCAGTGGTGTGATCTTGGCTCACTGCAACCTCCACCTCCGAGGTTCAAGTGATTCTCCTGCCTCAGCCTCCCAAGTAGCTGGGACTACAGGCACGCACCACCATGCCCAGCTAATTTTTGTATTTTCAGTAGAGATGGGGTTTCACCATGCTGGCCAGGCTGGTCTCAAACTACTGACCTCATGACAGGGAACAAAGCATTCTTTCTAGTGGCAAGAAACAGGCTCTGGTGCGTTTATCTACTGCAGCTGGAACATGTCTTTAAGGCACAGGTCACTTGTGCTATTGTCTGTGGTTCAGAAGCAACTTAAGTGGTCTTCCACCATAGGGAATGCCAGATATTTCTTTCCCTTGCGCCAGTAAACCACCAACCTCCAGCAATGTGCGTCACTGCCATCACCAGTACGTCACAGTGCTATAGATATTTTGTTTATGACCAATTCCTTTAAGGCCAGTTTATGCCAGGCATAGGGCCTGTTACCAGCACACTATTTTACTCTCAACTTTTGAGATTTTTTTTAGATTTCACATATGAATAACATTATATAGTATTTGTGTTTCTGTACCTGGCTTCTTTCACTTAGCTAAGGCTCATCTAAGCAAATGGCTCATCTCCAGGTAAATGACATGATTTCATCTTATTTAGTGGCTGAATACTATTCCATTGTTTATGTATATCAAAGTTTCTATATCCATTTCTTCATTATCATTTGTTTCAAGAAATGTTTCATTTTCCATCTTAATGTTTTTATTGACTGTCATCCTATTCTTGGAGGCTTGGCAAGCTAATCTTGAATTAATTCCCTGCATGCTCCTAATCCTGAACTATTGTTGCAATTTTCTATTACCTATCAGCTACTCTAGTAAATCAAAACACATTGTACCTAGAACACTGAATGTTAGAGCTAAGAAGACTTTAGAGATTATAAATCCCTTCCTTTATTATATTTGTCCCAAATAAAGTATAAATTGCTTAAAGGCACACAATAACTCTGGACTGATCCTACATCAACCATTAGTTCCAAAGGCTTCCTGCATGTTGGGGCAGGCTTTAGCCTAAAGCTGGTTTCCTGAAAACAAGTATAGTAACTGTACCACCAATTCAAAAGATAACAGCAAGACTTGTCTGAAATTTGTTTCATTTAATAAAATTTTCTTGAGTCCCTCTTAAAGAAAGTGAATATTTGTAGGATACATAAAGTCTGTCATGGAACTCATAATTTAATGAGAGCAAAAAATTCAATGTATTCAATATTTATGAAACCCTAGTCACTGGGAAAAGTTTTTGATGTATGAATTAGTGCAAACGTCTCAGAATGTCTCCTTATAATTTCCAGGGGTTCCTGGGACTTTATCAAAGGGTCCACAAATTTTACTCTATTTTTACAATAATATTAAGACATTATTTACCTTTAAATTTCATTCTCTCAGAATATAGTGATATCAACTAAGGTTATACAATGTTATTATATATGGTTAGTAATATTCGTGCTTATATATTTCTTAGTATTAGTACAGTCAACATCAATGTCTACAATTCACTTAAACAATAAACCTTTGGGGACGTCAATACTTGTTAAGAGTCTGAAGGACTCCTGAGAACGAGGTTTGAGAATTGCCCTAATTTTTCTTCCAAAAAAATCCCTGTGAGATCAACATTATCATCTATGACTTACAAATGGCAAAAGTGATTTTAGAAAGAATAGTCATGTTGCCAGGCGATAGCAGATCTACTGTGAACACAGGTGTGACTGATTGCAATGTCTGGACTGGCTCATTTTCTTAGTCCATTTGCGCTGCTATCACAAAGTGCTGGATAGTTTATAAATATCCAGAAACTTATTTATCATGCTTCTGGAGGCTAGAACATCCAAGACCAAAGTGCTGGCAGATTGGTGTCTGGGAAGGGCCTATTTCCTAGTTCATTGATAGTCTCTATTCTCTGTGTCCAGACATCATGGACAGGACAAGGAGTCAGTAATTCCCTCCATGAGGACTCACCCTCATTAACTAATCACCTTCTGAAGGCCCCATTAATTCTTGATTGTATTAATCAAGTAGGAGATTAGATTACAATATATGAATTTGGGAGTACACAAACACTCAGACCATAGCAATCATTAGCCATTTTGTTTGACCATTTTCAGTGTTATGGTTTTAAGCAGAATAAGGTGTTAGATGTTTTTTAATAAAATTATTGATAATGTCTTTTCTGAATATCAAATATACTTCTTTTATGCTTCACTTAAATTACTTGCCCATTCAAACAGAAAACATTAGTCTTCAGTTATTATCAAACATTTACAAAGACGAAAGGATAAACCTTCAAGCAGAAAATTAATCTTACAAATAATACATTTTATAATTTTAGCCATTATAAAATTTTGTTTTGTAATTTATAACAATATTATGAAGTAAATCAGTATAAAGTACATTGTAATCTTGCTTTCAAAGTGTACAGGGCTTTTAGAGCCTTTTTCAGGTAATTGAACCTTTTTTGAGTTTTTATTCCACAGAGGCTCTGCTTTTAACCGCAACGAATTCTTTTCTAACGTAGTATATTAGTCCATTCTTGCCCTGCTATAAAGAAATACCTGAGCCTGGGTAATTTATAAAGGAAAGAGGTTTAATTGACTCATAATTTCGCATGGCTGGGAAGGCCTCAGGAAACTTAAGCTCATGGCAGAAGGTGAAGTAGAAACAGGCACCTTCTTCACAAGGTGGCAGGAGTGCGTGAGTTCGAGAATAAGGAAGTGCCACATTTTGATACCTTCAGTTCCCATGAAAACTCTCCATTTTTAGGAAAACAGCATGAGGAAAACCACCCCTATGATCCAGTCACCTCCACCTGGTTCCTCCCTTGAGACATGGGGATTACAATTCAAGATGAAATTTGGGTGGGGACACAGAATCAAACTATATCGTGTAGTTAAAATACACATTTTAAATTTCAACCTAGTTAAATAACATTAATGGATTCATAAAACTTTATAATGAGCTTGGAGAAACCTCAGTCTAATACCATTAACTTACTGAAGAGAAACTAAGTCTCAGAAAAATGAAGTGACTTATGTAATGTGAAGGTTCTTCATAGAATTATAAAGACCTCATGTCAAGGTCTTACCCGACCTCTTTGCTTTCTTAAGTTTTACTTTTTCTAGCTTATAAGTTATGTCTTGGTAACGATGGAAAATAAAATGTGTGTAAATAACTTAAAAATTACCAGTTTGGTATCAACAAATCAAATTTCTCTATATAATTAAAGAAAAACCCTTTCTCTCATTTCTCTTTTCTTATCCTCTTCTATTCCTTTCTTTTCTACTTCCTCCTCCCCTTTCCTTTTCTCCTTCTCCTCTCTTTCCTTTTTCTTCTCCTCTTTTTTTCCTTCTCTTTCTCTCTTTTTGATATATGTCTATCAGTGTTTTCAGAAATAATTCAGTGGCATCTCATACAGATGTACCACTTGCTTAACACAACTCAGATTGCTATTGTGATGAAAGTCAATGGGAGCTAGTCTGTGGGAACAATGGAATAACTTACCTGTCACCTTGTCTAGCAGATGCAAATCTTCATATGGTAATAAAAAGCCTACAGTATTCATTTTTACTTTCTCTCTTCTCCTTAATCAAAACCACAGATTTAACAATTTCTTACCAAATCTGTCTATAACTAAAGCTTCTATTATAAAGATTTTTTAAAGGTTTCTAATATTATCTGTCATTTTAATGGCTGTGCTGTTGTATGAACAAATCCTCATATAAAATCCTACTTAGGACACAATCATAGTTTTCTGCTATTTGAATTCTAACTTGAGATGACCCCACCTTTTTTCCTTAAAATTGCAAGAACATAGCCTTTTGAAAGTTGAATGCATTTAGAATCTCTAAGGATCACATCATTTGATTGAGGTATATGATTTCCATTAAATTGTAACTACTTTATCCTTTAGAAGTTAAGGGAAAGTCCTGAGTTAATTCACTGTCAGTTCTACCTACCTTACCAGGACAATAACATATTTGCTATGTTTTATATAAATTTCGATGTGTTTAGCTCTGGGCTCACTACTTATTTGACTTGCCAGGAAATGACTCAAGACTTATGCTCACTCTACTGCCCATGATTTCCTATTTTAATTTCTCCAAAGCTGGCACTTTTCTTACCAAGGATAATGGGTATCTTGCTTACCTATTGCCAACATATCCTGTAGGAATCCTGTATATTTCTTCACTCAAATTTTTTCTATCATGTGAACCATGGGTTTTTTTTCCAATATCCTGGGTATGTCCCAATAGTTGAGGATAAGACATGGTGGTCTCCAT